AATTTGAAATTAATAATTATTGTGAAAACTATAATCAAAGTATAAAAATTTTATTTATTTAATTTTAATAAATATATAAATTATTTTAAATTATATTATTTTTAATAATAAATTATCTTAAACTATAATTATAGGTGTTACATATGCACGTGTTTATACTAATGCCTCAACTTCTGAAACATATTATTGAATTTTTACAAGCTTATAGCATTATTTTAAAATATTAACTGATGAATCTCCAATGTTTGATTATATTTATAATAAAGGATGAAAATATATACTTAGAGATTTAGATCAAGGACAAGCAAAAGAATTAGGATTAGCATTGGCTAATATTGAACCAAAGTATATCTGGAATGAACATTTAACATATATTTTTAAAAGTTGCAAAGTACATTTTTTTAGGTAAATTAATTTATTTTTATTATTTACTTTATTATAAAAATTTAAATAAAATTAAATAACAATAATTAATTTATTAAAAATATTAATAATTATGAACGAAATGAAGATATAAAACAATTAATAATAGAAATTTCTACAGCTACAACAAAATTACAAATTGAAGAAATATTTGAAACTCTAAAAAAATTTAATAATGAAAATCTTGAAGGTAAATTGTTAAATTATTCTTTATCAATATATTTATATTTAAATTAAAAAAGTTAAATTTTAGGATAGATTAAATTTTATTCAACTGATTGGGCCATTACTTCTTTAAATCTAACTTTTTCAAACATTCTAATTGATATATAGTATTCTACTTGGCATGATACAAATGTAGCAGAAAGTAGTCATGCACAAGTAAATCAATATGGAACAAATTTATATCTTCAAGTAGCAATTCAAAAGTAAATATTATTTATCTATTAATATACTATAATATAATATGTTATTAACTTAATTATTTATAATTTAGAGGTTATTTAGAAGATCAAAGAACTTTTCATTCACAAGAGATACATAATATTTCTGGAGTTCCTTATACTAACTATGATAATGGCATAGCATCAAGAGCAATTTAATCTGTTAAAAGAAATGGTAATTATTATTTAATATACTGATACTTTAAATAAACTATAATTAAAATTTTTAATAATTAACTTCTTTTAATTTTTTAGCAAATAGAAAGCGTAAATATCCCACTACAGAAAAAAAACAACAAACAACTAGGCCTACTATTAAAAAAAATAAATCACAAAAAAATTCTAAAACAGACTTGGATGAAACAGAAAGAAACTTAGCAATTCGAGAAAAACAACTTGAATTAGAAGAGCATGAAGCAGAATTGGAATTAAAAAGGTTGAATATTAAAAAAATGAAAAAAGACCTTAATCTTTAAATATTATGTGTTTTTTTTAGTTAGTTATCTTATTATGCTTCTATATTAGAATTATTTGCTTGCTTTTAATTCTTATATTTAATTTTACTTAACTGCTTTAATATTTAGAATATTTAAATTACTTATGTAATATTCGCTAAATTGATTTTAAAACATTGCTTTATTAAATAAGAATAAAAAGGTTGTACTCTGGTTCTATGTACTGCAAGTAACTTTAGTAAACCATTATTAAAGTAAACACATTAATTTGACTAGTTGTCTTAGACAAATTGAATCGTTTTGTGTTAATAGTAAATATCTGAACCCTTTGACCTAACATATTGTAGAATATATAATTACTGGTAAATAGTTTCGGCGCACTATAGAATAACTGAATCTCATAAAACTGTTCACCAAATTCACTACGCCTTTCCTATTCTAAGGTTACACGAATGCTGAATTGTAGAGTAGCAACTTGTCATTTTCCGACTTTCACTATGTAATACTTTAAAGTACTTTAATTTCACTATGTAAATACTCTAAAGTACTTTAAGATAATGGCTAGATTACTGCAAAGTATGGGTCAAATTCTGATAGGTACTGCAAAAATTTACCCGCACTTCGAATATCAAAAGACTTTACAGTCCCAGAAGGTACTGTAAAGTACAAATAGGTTACGCTGCAAACAGGGGCACGACAATACTCAGGTAAATTAGGAAACTGGTACTTTATATGGAATGACCTTAATTCTATTGGCTGTAAAAATGTAAAAACGAATGAAAGGCTATACTGTAATTTGATTGATTAATATGATGAGTATTTTTCGTCCAAAATTGAGGGGAAGAGGTTTATGTTAAGCAGAGAATTAAATTGGTCTGGCCTAATTAATAAATCATCTATATACTCGCTGACTAAATTAAAATGAATAAAATGATTTGAAGATATTAAGTGTTTGTGTTCATGATTATGATAATTCCACTGATTAATAAATCAACTTTATACATACTGACTAAATTAAAGCGAATAAAATAAATAAGTATTTATACTTACCAACTAATTAAGCGAACGAAGAGTAAAAGGTAATTAAGTTTTATGTTTATAATTTGCTGATTTTAACTCCACTGATTAATAAACATTTTATATTCACCGACTAAATGAAACGAGGTAAATAAGCATTTGTGTTCATTATTTGGAATTTTAATTTAAATTATCTTTGTATCTCACTGACCAAATTAAAACAAATGAAATGATTTGTAGGTTATAAGATAAATAAGTATTTGTGTTCATGATTTGAGATTTTAATTCTACTGATTGATGGTGAGTAAGTAATTGCCTTCATTATTTGCTAATTTTAACTATACCAGATACTAATTAATAAATCATCTTTATACTTACCGACTAAAAGCGAATGAAATGATTTGAAGAGAAATAAGAATTTGTGTTATGATTTGCTGATTTAAATTCGACTGATTAATACACTATAAATGCAAAGTTTCAATAATTCAGTTTGCTGGTATAGAAAGTATTTGCTAATTAACATAGAAACTCAAGTTTGCACTTACTATCACGTATTGCTTCTTAATTTATTTTATTTACAGCAACCTAGAGCAATCCAGTTCGCAAGTTTAGAAAACATTTATCTTAATTTTTTCATTACAGTTAATCTTTTTTAATATAGTGAATTTGCAATATGATCACAGTAGCCATATAGAGTATAAATTAGATATTCTTTAGATATAACTTAATAAAATAATCATTATTTTGTATCATGAAAAAATAACCAATCACATTATCGCCATGCATAGTAGTATAAAATAATTGTATTAATTGGTATAAAAATTTTAATTTGCTTAATGAATAACTATATATTCATCATTATGGCGCATTTGTGTATTTTTATGTATTGATAAGACTATAAAGTGTCATTTACTACTTTTTTTTGACATTTCTTATTGTAAAGTCATATATATATCTAACCAATTATTTCATCTTTGAAGATGGGTTAATGAATTTTATCTGATTTTACAATAAGAAATGTCAAAAAGAAAATAGTACATGACATATTATAGTCTTGTCAATACTTAAAAAGTTCATGTTATATTGTCTGATATAACCTGACTAAGGCATTATTTTTATAGATTATCCAATGAGTCTAACAGAAAAAAAAATATATATTTACTCATAAAAAAATTATACTACTGGCACTATACTAGACAAAGTTTTATAGTAGAACAAAAACTACATTTGTAGCTGTATCAGTATCTAATACATATTAATTTAATTTTATGTTAGCAGTCTATTCGGTATTACTATCATAGGAAGTTTAGTTAGAATAATAAACTAATAGAAAAAAGGCAAATAAAAAGAACATATTAAAGAAGTCAATAGAAAAGAGACAAATTTTTTCTAAGTAAATATTTTTCTAAAAATTGGTTTATTTTTATTTTTAATAAGTTGTAGATTTAAAGTAACAATTTCCTTAAAACTATTTGAAGCAGATTTTGGACTTAAAATGAGTTTTTTTTCCTTTATTTCTGATAAAATTTTTTTCTAGTATTTGCAAATACTAATTTACTAGAATATGACTTCTATCAGTATGTTGGTCTTAATTCATATTTTTGTAATTGTTATTAAGATATGCAAATATCAACAAGTCATTGCTTTGTTTTTGGTCTATTCTAAAAATTAAATTATGAATGAAACTCCACTTACAGGTTAGTAAACAAAATAAATTGAAAGAAAATTTCACAAACAAAAAACAAAAATTCTCAAACAAATAGACAAACAAAAAAAAACTATCCAAATAAATGTTATTTTTTCATTATTTAAATTCTTTTTTTTTTTATAACTTGCATTCTATTTCACAGACAGCACCAAAATTGTCTGAAGCTATAGCATTACTCTGCTCAAAAGAATTAGCACAATTCGATTTGGCATGGTCAAGGCGGTAACAAAACATTATGTGAAATATAAACATTTTTCTTATTTTATATTTTATTTCTTTGATTATTGTCTAATACAATTCTAATACTAATTAATTATGTTTCTTTCAAAATTTACATCTCTTTTATACATATTCTTGGATACACAAAAAAGAAAGAAAAAGGACGTAATATAACGAAAGTTTCACTTCGTTATTTCAAATAAACCTGTCACGGCGTTAAGACACGGCCACGAATTTATCCCGATATGGTTAATTTAACCCATTGTAAGTATTAAGCCTCAATTTTGACAATCGGGTTAATTATTCAACAATGCCTTTTCGAGGTTTACCGCGCAGTTGATTATCAGTGGTCCTGCGGGATCTTCACATGCGATTCGCATGTGGGTCTCTTGGGCTTCGTGGGTTACTTTGAGGCACGGGTTCCTTCTATCTTTAATATACCGATTTTGCCTCTGAAATTAGTTACATTTTGGGGTCAGGTTTTATTTTAACTCAGGACAAAATAGAATTACCCCTTTTTTATATACTACGAAATGATTTGAATTTCATTATTAATATAAATTGTCGTTCTGTATGGCTTCTGGCTTACTGTATGGAGTCATTATTTTACAGGTCAGAATTTAATGAAATGATTATGCTTATAATCGACTGCTATTTTTCTTTATATTCACCTTTATTACTTGTTCCAGAGCACAATTTCTTCCTGTCAGAAATATCACTTTTTTATCTGTGACACTACATAAATTTTGGAGGTTGCTCTTTAATTAGAAAATTAAATCTTCAATTAAATTTTACCTATTTAGGCTAAGTGTGCCGCAGAACATTTTTGTCAGTGATAATTTTAACTAATATTAATCATCGATTAATTAACTACAGTACGGTATTTAATAACTCTAAACTTGAATTCGGATCGGACATACAAACATATAATTTCATTATTTTTAATTTGTAACAAGACTAGGATAGCTAGCATTTATAATTTTACTGCGCACAAACGATTATTTATACCAATTGGCTGCGGCTATAATATGCATTCTTATAACATTTTAAAAAAAAATTATAAAAGGCATAAAACTTAAAAAAAACTTTACTTTATTTGTGAACAATCCGTTCCTGACAAAAATTTCTTCTTTT